CTCTTAACAAACTGCATACATTTTCTTGACATAACATCAGTAAATATGGAATAGTGTGAAAATCAGTTTTGATTTATTACTCTGAGCAAATGGTCTTTTTTGTTTTCATGTCAGTTTATCAGTCTTCCAAATTGCAGCTGTCCCTAGAGGAGCTATGCATGCAGCTTGGGTAAACACTTGCAGTGTTCTTGCAACTGTTGATTCACTGCAATGCTCCCTGGGGTTTTTAATCACATTGATGTCTCATTTGAAGTTGTTGCTTTGGTTTGACTTTCATATATTGTTTTAAAGTATTTAACCAATATTGCCTTGTCCCTGTTCATATTATCGTTTCTACACAACTCGATCTTATTTGCATATTAATTAATTTCAACTTACTGGGAAATGGTAGTTGAACATTAGGTAATGCAGAGATACTGTGGCAGCATGGGCTCATTAAAAGTTTTAAAGGAAAGTTTTTCATATGCTTTGTTGAATACCTTGGGATTTTCTGTTGTAATACGTTATAAGGGGAACTTGCTCACTACACATAATGTAGTGCTCATATCCAACTTGCCTGCCTCAATTATTGTGTATTAGTTGTCAGATTAGAAAGGGTTGATTAATTGCACATCAACCTTCTTTACACATGATATTGTGTCTTGTATCCACTGGTGTCTTTCTGCTGGTGCAAATAACATTGCATTTAGAGGAAATCACTTTCCAAACTGTGCATACGGGAGAGAACCCAGCTGAAATTCCAGTTGCACAATGCGCTGCTTGAAAGATCTTAGGTTTCCAAGGTGGTCTGCTAGCATTTATATAACTTTTCACACAACAAGAAAAGGCAGCAGAGTTCTGTTAATACAACAGTTTTTTTCCACTAACAGGATGTTGTATTTAGGCTAAATACTTATAGCTTACTAATAGTTAAAGTGGATATAAGCTTCTGAACCTATGTATGCATTAGAAACATGCCATGGGAAGTTACAAATATTTTGGGCACACGAAGTGCGATCTTAACATGTCTATTGCCCTCCAGACTTGCAAGTACTATAGTACCAGCTGCTGTTCTTCCGATTCAATGACCTATTTGCTTTTTCCTTATTTGACATTGCTCTCATCCCAGAAAGGTTGTCCTGACCTTTAAGGAGTAGGTGATACTACCTAATTGTAGTGGTAGTATATTGTGCAGAATAAATTTTAGATTAAATATATGTATAAATTGATTTTTTTATTTACTCATGTGCATCTTGAATACACAAGCAAATGACCAAATACAAAACTCAGTATCTATTATTTTTAATATTTATCTTGCTAAAATAACATCATGTCACTTAGAGCACAGTGGTTTGTGCTTACTGGGAGTGAGTCCTTTTAATTCAGTGAGTCTTGCTTATTCTTATGCTGCAGCCCTCTACCTACTTTGCTATTTAAAAGCCCCATTCACTTTCATGGAAGTTTCTTACGCCTAGGCATGCATATGATTCAGCTGTTAAGCTCTTATATCCAGGCCACAAACTTTGTTTCCTTGGTGGTGCTTAATTCACTTCTAAATTAAGGCAATGGGTGGGCCTTGAAATTATTTGTGTTTCATAGAATCATATAGCATTTTAAGAATTGGAAATACCATGTTAAATATTATGCTGAGCTCTGTGCAAGTGAGTTTATTTTTTCTTTTTCTTGAAGAACATGTTTATAATTAAAATAATACAGAATTGATTCTTAAAGAACATTCTGTCTTCAGAAGATGTCTGTTCTTTTCCATTGTTCTCAGTTTCTCTGAACCATCTCTCAAGATTGCTTGGAGTATGACTTTTACTGAATATTACTTATATAAAAACAGATCAGTCAGCTACTAGGTTTAGACTCCAGGATGAAACAGAGCAGTCAGGTGTCAGTAAGGTCCTACATTATGGTTTTGTTGTGATCATCCTACATACAGTTCAAAAAGCTTCTGGTTAGATAAAACTTGGAAAGGAGCAGTCAGAGAGTTGAGACACTCTGCAGCAGTGTAAAGCTGCAGACATGTTCTCTTTCATACATGACCTAGTTCTAATGGAGTATGTTGTGAACAGGTAAACTAAAAATCATGTCCTGTCTCTGTTCAAAGTTTAGAGTAAAATCCTATTCATATTTAGGTAGAAAAAACTCTTAGCATTCCCCAGCCAGTTAAAACATGCATAGGTTACTAACAACGTGTTTAATAGGCTAAAGCAGTGATTCTCAAAGTGGGTGGTACTGTAGTGGAAAGATCCAGAGGGGTGGTGATTGGTTGTTTTAAATTTGTAGGAGAATGGTAAATCTAACGCAAAGAAAGGGGCATGAGGGCACCAGGGTTCTTGCCCAAGAGGAAAGGGTGCAGTAGCCTGAAAAATTTTGGGGACCAATGGGCTAAGGGATTCTACAGAAATCTTAGGATACAAATAAACCACCTGAGTTTTTGTCTAAGGGGTGGATTCACTTCTTTTGCTTCTTTGTTTCTTTCTCCCTATTTCTGTTCCCCTTGTGATTTGATGTAAAATAATAAACTTAAGTGTGAAGTAACCAACTCTGCTTTTGCAGTTGTATCGGTCTAAATTTTGGATATTTTAGTTAAAAAAGAATAGAGCTGCCAGGATGTTAACAGGGACCGGCAGGTATGAATGTATAATACCGGTCCTTTACCACCTACACTGCCTATCAACTGAATCCGGGCCCAATTTAAGGTGCCAGTGATCACCTATAAAGCCCTAAATGACTCAGGACCTAGATATCTGAAGCTCACTCTCTATGTGCCTTCTTGCCCCTTAAGATCTGGCACAGAGATCCTTCTTCAGGAGTCCTCCTTGAAGGAGATTAGAAGGGTGGCTACCCGGAGAAGGGCCTTCTCGGCATTGGTCCCCAGCTATGGAATGCACTCCCCAGAGAATTCTGCCTGGTGTCAACTCGGTATTCTTTTAAGCACCAGGCTAAAACCTTTTTATTCCCCATTATTTTAAGGTTGATTAGATTTTGATGTGGATTTTATTTTATTAGACTTTTTGGATACTGTGCTTCATTTTGTTCTGTTTTTATTGTAAACTATTCTGAGACTATAGTAGTCGGACGGTATATAAAAGCTTTGAATGAATGAATGAATGAATGAATGAATGAATGAATGAACAAATATTAGCAAAACTTTCTCCTTTATTGACATTTAGTATTTGGGCATTCTCTGAGATTCTCCAGTTGATTATCCCATATTCTTTGTGTGCCATTATATTATTTTTGCTTTATCTTGATTTTTTCCCCTTCTTACTTTTAACTGACACATTTTCAGTAAATCTTAATCACTAAATTTAGAAATTGTTGTACATACCAACACTTATATGCCAAGCTAGGGTTGCTAACACTTGAGGAAGCATTGCCTTCTGGTAGAATATTTCAAGACCTATTTATTTATTTATTTTATTAATTTAAAACTTACATACCATCCACTACTATGTCTTGGGACAGTCTTACAATAAAACAAAGTGGAACACAGTATCCAAATTGATTTTCTATACAGTAAAGCCCCACATTAAAATCAGACTCGTGTTAATGTTAAAATGGTCCAAAACGTGCAAGATATATTTTACTGGAGCTGTTCAACAATCACGAGGGACAGCTGCTTTGCTTATTTTTGCAGTCTAAGCATTAACCGGATTTTACATTTAAATATCACCTAATAAGGATATCAGCAGTTTTGTAATTCCGCTCAAAAGATTGAATAATTTATATCAAACTAGATCTGGGTTCAGACATGCAAAACTATAGATTGTACTAATACTAGTTAAAGACCCACACCATGGTTTGAGCTTGTCAAACAAGCCAGGATTTTAAGCCACAGTTAGATTGTTTGCAGAAACTCTAGTTAAGACTAACCACAGTTTTTCACGTTCAGAGGTAACAGTTGCAAACGAAAGCAATATTTTCAGGCTCCTCCTCTCAACTCTACAAGGTGATGATAGTACACAAGCCTGAGACTAATTCAGATAACACTAAAATATAATACAAATGCTGCTATTTAAAAAAAAATAAGTCATGGTTTCATATTTATGAACCAGTCCTGGAAGAATTCCAAAGCATTATCTTTAAAGACAGAAAATGCCCCTTGCCATTTGGAATCATAATATTTATTACTCGAGAAGCCCTTGTCATAAGCTACAGATGCATTACTTGGTTAAAAATACTCTGCAAAAAAATTGCCTGTGAAAAATTAATATTTAGTGTTATACAATTCATGGGCTAAGATGAACAAAAGTGGGTATGGTGCCTCTAGTATACCCCCACTTCTGTTTTTAATCAGTAAAGTTTGCTCTTCATAGATTGTTGTGCAAACCCAAAAATGCTGGATAGTTCAGGAGCTCAAGAGTTGAGCGGTTAACACCAAAGCATGGGTAACTGCTTGAATGTTTAGCTCCAAAACAACTCAATGATCCACATTTGCACATCAGACCCAACAACCTATGAACAAGCTGATAGCGGGTAGTTGATCAAAAGTGTACATGGGAAGTGCATAGGAGGCATTCCACACACTCTCTCCAGCTTATGTTTAACCATGACCTGCTGTGTGCAAATAGGTCACTGAGCTACCATTTTTTAAATAAGGGCAGCAGAAGCCATAATTCCCTTACCTCTTAGAATGTTAGTTACTTCAGTAGTCGAACAAAGGTTTAATCTGTCATGAGAGCTGCATTGAGGAGTGAAATGCTGATCATTTGGGGAAACATGCATATTCAGTTCATGTCAGTGAAAGCACACTCATCCTGTGTCACCCTACCCTTGACCACCTCAGCAGTTCAACATAAAATACAGTGTGTGACAGAAGGAATCTAGGAACTGGCTTGTTTGGGAGAAATTGAAACTTGGTGTGTTAGATATAACAAGTTTCAAACACCAGATTAGTGTTTGAAAGAATAGTGAACATGTTGTACAACATACTGAATTTGTTGGGCCAGTTTGATGTAACTTTTTCCAGTATCTTTGTTACCAACCATCTTGTTCGTCTTTGTTTGCAGATGTGATGCAGATCCATCAGCCCTAGCAAAGTATGTTCTTGCTTTGGTAAAGAAGGATAAAAGTGAAAAAGAACTGAAGGCGTTGTGTGTTGATCAGTTGGATGTGTTTCTCCAAAAGGGTAAGCTCTCATAAATACAAAGCTTCAGCAAGCTGATATGAATTCTAACTGCATTCAGTAATCACTGCTTTGATTTTCATTACATTTTCGATTAAATGACTCTGCATTAAGTAGGAAAAAAAGATTTATAACTCAACAGCTTTACTGCCTCATAGAAACAGAGTAAGTGCAGTACAGCAGCTAAACATCAAAACAAATATTCTAATACTCTGTGTCAAAGAAGTATCCCATGAGTTTCACTTTTGGAAGCTCTGAATAACACATCTTGAGTAATTAGTAGGCATACTTGGTGATCTGCAGTTGTTTTGGGCTACACTTCCCATAAGCTACAACAAACATGGCCACAGGTCATATCAGGGGGTTGTAATCCAAAGTTTCTGGAGGACACCAGATTGCCTTGCATTAAGTGTAAAAAACCCTTGCAAATAGTTATTTATTGTGTGCTTCACACCTCCCCTCTATGCTTTGTTTGCCTGAACTGCTCCACTTTCCTTATGTATTGACTGAAGGGTCTATTCCAGCATTTTAAGAGGTTGTCCCAACTTGAAAACTTCATCGCCATAGCAGCTGCATGTGTTTTTCCGGTTTCTTCCTTGTAAGTGGCTGATGTCTTGGTAGAGAATATGATGTAGGCTATCTACATTGTCTTTCCAAGAATGGTGGATCTGTGAAGTGGCATCTGGTACTGCACTGTGACAACATTTGGAGAGGGTTGACAACAGTGTACCAAGGGCTAAGCACTGTTTGCCATTTGTTTTCTCTCCTGATGCAGTTGCCACATATCACAACCATGTGAGTGGCCATTTACAGAAAAGACACAAAATGACTGATTAGTTTCTCAGCAGTATTTACCACAATTATTTTTTTTTCTGAATGTTAATTTGTATAACGTTTGGGCTCCATTTTAGAGACCCAGATATTTGTAGAAAAACTTTTTGATGCTGTGAATACAAAGAGCTACCTACCTCCGCCAGAGCAGCCATCATCAGGAAGCCTGAAATCAGACTTCTTTCAGCATCAAGAAAAAGACACTAAGAAGGAAGAGGTAATGCTCAGTGGTGCATATTTATTGTGCCCAGTCTGTATCTTTTGATTATGAGGCTATTGTACATTTCATTTGCTGTTTTAATTTTGGATAGCCATTAAATATCCATTTACTAAGGCTATGATAGTCCTCATGGGTGGCTCCTTGAAGATCGCCTTGAATCTTGGTGCCTTCCTGACATTAGATTTCAACTGTGGTTCAACCTCTGCCATATATGTAGAGGCCATCCTTACTCTAGTGTCCTTCAAATGTATTAAACTAAACTTCCAGCCTTTCTAATCATTGGCCTTGCTGGCTGTGGTTGATGGGAGTTGTAGTCCAAAGTAGCAGCATGTCGCTAGGCAGAAGGCTTTAGTAGAGATAGGAACCTGTAGGGACTAGGCTCTCTTCTCCTAAAATACAGTCTTCCAAAGTTTTTGTCTTAAAGTCTGAATCAGAATTGGAAGAAGAGGCAGGATCAGAATACTTAGCTGAAATGTTGAGGCCCAGAGATAAGCCAAAAGGCTGATGAGAACCAAAGTGCATCAGTTTCTGTGGGATATACTGTTGAAGAGGGGAGTAAACAGACTTTACATTATTAAGTTGATAATGATGTCTGATCAAACAGGGAGTCCAGTTGAGTCAGATGTGCTCACCAATAGTATCATGAACCACCCTGAAGGTAGAGTCAGCTGCTTTTAGTTGGAACGGGAGGAGAAGTTTGGAATCAACTGTTTATCATTAAGCTACATTTCCCTAGTGGCTGGTATACGAACATCGCTGATGCCTTTTGTTAATGACTAGTACAGTATTCTTATATTGTATCAGCAAGCCAGACTACGAGGGGTGTTCAGTGTATTCTCGGTATTGGGTTGATTTGCTATTGATGTGGGTAATTTAATTATTTCATTAGCTAATGACACTATCTGAGGGTATACATGCAAAATTTCAAATAAGTGTGGTCGTTAGTTCCCTAGTAATCCTCAGTGAAAGATGACCATAATGACTGACATGACAATGTTGAAGAAAATCGAGCACTGCACTGTGATTAAGTTCCTTACAAAACAAGGAAAAAGTAAAAATATTCACGAAGAGATGGTGGCCGTTTATCAGGACTCTGCACCTTCATTATCTACTGTTCAAAAGTGGTCAAGTGAATTTAAAAGAGGCAGAGAAAGCATTGAAGACGACCCTCGCTCGTTACTGGCTGGTTACTGCCACTACAAAAGAAAATGTGAAAAAAATTGAGAAACTTGTATTGGAAGATGCCCGAATAAAAATCAAAATGTTAGCAGAGATGACAAATGTATCCATTGGTACATATTTACTATTTTTCATGACCATCTTAACCTTTCAAAGGTCTGTGCAAGATGGGTGCCATGAATGCTCATGGCGCCTCAGAAACAAGTGCAAGTCAAGTGCTGTAGGGAGTTTTTAGAGCTCTGGTGAAGATCCATCTAGTATTTTCGACCGGATTGTTACTGGAGATGAAATTTGTGTTCATCAGTATGACTCTGAAAGTAAGCAGGAGTCCCATGCAGTGGCGTAAAAAAGGTGCTGACCTTCTGAAGAAATTCAAAGTCACTCTATCGGCTGGAAAAATCATGGCCACAGTGTTTTGAGACTCAAAGGGAATTTTATTGATCGAGTACACGAGAAAAGGTGAACCCATAAACGCAGCATTTTACACAACCACTCTGCGTAATTTAAGAGAAGCGATTAAAGAAAAAAGGCAGGGAAAACTGACCGCAGGTGTGTTGCTTCTTCACAACAGTGCACCTGTTCACACGGCACGTGTTTCGAAGGCTGCTGTGCGAGACTGTGGTTTCGAAGAAATAAACCACCCACCCTGTAGCCCAGACCTGGCCCCCAGTGACTAATACCTATTCCCTAATTTAAAGAAAGATCTTCATGGAAAGCTATTTTCTGATGATGAAGAGCTCAAGGCGGCAATTAACGCACATTTTTTAGATAAGGAGGAAGGGTTTTTTTTTAAAGGGAATTGAAAAGTTAATTTCTAGATGTAAGAAGTGTATTGAAGTTATGGGGGATTACATTGAAAAATAAAAATTATTTCAGTTTATTATTCCCTTTTCTTCATGCTGTTACCAAGAATACATTGAACGCCCCTCGTAACTGTCCAGTTTTAACATAATAAAGATTTCAGTTAGAACATTTTCCTGATGTTCTTGGAAGTAGGTGAGAAAAGGTCAGTTTATGGTGCAGCCTTAGAGATAGAAAGCGTGATTGTTAATACTGGAATATCTGAATGCAGCCATGAGAAATGAGTTGTATAGTAGCAAGAGTGAAATGACATAAAAAGGTTGAAAAGACATCGTTCATATTATATTAATAACTAGAAAATTCTTTTGTCTCTGAATGTTCTTCTGTATGGTGAAAAGTGTGCAGTGTTTTAATTCAGCAAGGCTGTTGGTGTGAGAAGAGCCCAAAAGTTGGAATAATGGTTTAAAGGAGGGACTTGAAAATGGCTTGATTTTAGTTAGTTGTTGGAAAAAATGTTTTCATGTGCTATGGTTATGCTTGAAATGCATTTTCCCGTTTCATCAAGGTCATTAAAGAGGAAGAGCGAGAGAAAAAGTTTTCTAGAAGGCTAAATCATAGTCCCCCTCAGTCAAGTTCACGATACCGAGAAACCAGGTAATCTCTTATTGTTCTTACTCTTTCAGCCAATACAGGTTTCAGTTTTTTCAAAAGCTTTGTTATAGGTTCTTATATATAAATATTCTGTCATTGGTTTATCTCAATACTTTTGATGTGGTAATTGTATCTGACAGTTACTTTTTAATACATAGTTAGGTGCAAAGACACAAATGAGCAAATTTCCATGCAAAATATAAAGTACATTTAGTTAAGCAGAATCATAATGATGCTTTGTTGTTTGATTTTTGTCATTCAGTTTATCCCTTCCTAGTCAGTAATTTTGTAGTTAAAGTACTAAATAAATTGATTAATTCTGTATTAGAAATTTCCCTGTGTCTACACCCTTATTGTTATACAGCATCAACAGGAACATCCAAATAAGCATTTAGTGGCATATATTACGAGATAAATGTCAGATTGTTATTCAGACATTCAAATGATTGATTGTTTTCTACATGATGCTTCATTCCAAGAGGGTTTATTGTGAGGATTGAATAGGAGTATCTTGTTCAAGTATCTGAACAAGTCAAGAGCCAAGATTGGCTTAAAGAAGACCTATGGTAGGTGATATGTAGTGTTCAATGTTAAGTTTTCCTAAGTATTGTGATTTAAAATATTGTGTTGTATTCGTATTTCTATTGAATATTTCCATTTATTTTGATACTAATGGATATATTTTATCTTTGCTATTAGTTCTAGGTTTCTGTTCTTTTTAGAATGTAGCATTTATTTCTGTATAATAATCCAAACTATTTAGAAGCAGGGATGAAAGAAAGAAAGAGGAACGCTCCCGCAAGAGAGAATATGATAGGAATCCTCCAAGAAGAGAGTCCTATAGAGACCGTTACAACAGAAGACGGGGCCGGAGCCGCAGCTACAGCAGAAGTCGCAGTAGAAGCTGGAGTAAAGAAAGATTACGGGATAGAGATAGGGATAGGAGCAGGAGTCGCACTAGAAGTAGAACAAGGAGCAGAGGTAATCAGCAATCTTTATTATGTCAACTTGTTGTATTGAAGTGAAGTACCATCTCAGAACTATGAGTTGGTTGTTAGTACAATGAATTGAACACTTTTCAAATTGAATAAAATTTGTGCATATACTGTTGTTAGACAGTATTTGATGCAGTTGTATGGTAATTAATATTGCATCCTATACCAGATATTCTAAAGGGTGATGATCGTTCAGTGCAAGGAGAACTATGTTTGTTGCCTTTACCTTCTTGGGGGAAAAATAGAATACAAACTATAGTAATAAATATATAAGCTATGATTACTTTAGCATGAATATTATGTGTAAATTCCAAGGAAGCCATGAGCTTTAGTTTGAGATGACTTTAGTGATGATTTACAATTATGCCACAGGAATTTGTGTAATGGTATTCTGCACTTGTTTACTTAGGAGTAAAACCTACTGTATTCAGTCAGATTTTTGTTTGACTTAAGGCCTGTTCAGACATTGTTCCTAGGATACATAAGGAGCAGGTTTCCAGTTTTATGCTCCCCCATGCTTTTTCTTTACTGTGGAAGGGCATGCTTTATTAATTTGAAAGACTCTGTCCAAGTTCAGTTGAGGATAGCACAATTTCATTGGATGACCTTTAGTTATTGGTGCCTGCATAAGTCTAGCCAAGCACTATCGTGCTCAACCCCCAACCTTTATGGCTTTAGTAAAGAAAGGATATTTATTAGGGTCCAGGAGGTTTAACATATCTCTGAGAAAGAATTCCCAGGGGTTTTTTTCTTTTAAAAATGCCTTTATCCAGTTGCTGTAGAAGAAACTGGAGACTAGCAAGTTATCAGCAATTATAGACTGTTAGCCAATTCTGGCCAAGTTGGAGAGGGCAGTGCCTGCCCAGTTCCCATGACAGATGTAGCTGGTTATTTACATAAGTGCTTGCCCAGACCTTAAGGTCACTGTCAGAGGTTCTCCTCTAGGAGCCATCTATAAAAGATACAAGGCAGGTGACTACTAGGAGAAGGGCCTTTCACCTGTGGCGCCCCATTTGTGGAACCAGCTTCCCAGAGAGGTGCACCTGTCACCCAAACTTTACAATTTTCCGTGCCAGGCTAAAACATTTTTTAAATTTTCTCAGTATTTGAATTGTTGAAATTGTACATTATATTTTATTCTATTGTGGCACTGTGGATTGTTTGATTATTTTTATTTATTATTGGTTTCATATATTGTTGCTTATTGTTATTGGGTGTTATACTTTGTTTTTATTGATTAATATTGTGAATTAATTGTTACCAGTTTTATCTCTTTGTGATGTTGGATTTTGTTTTACACATTTTAACTGCAAACCCTCCAAAGAGCTACCTGGCTAAGGGAATGGTAAAAAATGTTTTAAATAAATAATAAATAAATGTCTGGCTATGCTTCAGTCAGGCTTCAGACCTAGTTTTTGGACAGAAACTGTCTTCATCATCCTGTGTGATGTCCTTTGCTGGAAGAGATATGGGGACTGTGACCATGTTGATTCTCCTGAACCTATCAGCAATTTTTGGTACCTTCAGCATGGAATACTTCTGGATGGACCCTCCAAATTGGGTGTAGGAAACATTGCTCAATAATGATTCACAGTTAGTTCTAAATAAAGTCCCAGAAACTGGGCAGTTTTGATCATACCAGTGGATCTTTTACAGTTTGCCTACTACCCAGAGAATATTTATGAATGGGCTGCCATATAAATTGTAGTAGTAGTAGTAGTAATAATAATAATAAAGTTTCTACCTGTGGCATAGTGAAGAAGGAAAGAATTGCATACATCTGAGGCCCTCTGCTGATATTCCCTGAATGTAATTCAAAGAAACTACACCAGGACAAGTTCCTGGGTTTTGCCTTCTAATTAATGAAAGCTCATGGTAGTTTATATTCCTTTCCTCCATCAAGTACTTTAAAGTATGTGTTTCAGAAATCAAGGTGTTTAACCAATGATGTTTTAGATGCGTAACTTGAAATTGCCATCAATCGTCCTGTATGATTAATTATCCTGTATAATTTATACTAACTGGGCTTTGGAGTTTTTAAAATTTAAAAATAGTTCAGCCTGCATAATTGCAGACAATTTGCTTACATTACCATGACCCCTTGCACACTTTTTTTCTTGCAGAAAGGGATCTGGGGAAGCCAAAATATGACTTGGACAGAACTGAGCCATTAGAAAACAACTATACTCCTGTTTCTTCTGTGACAAACATTTCATCTGGCCACTACCCTGTCCCTACACTAAGTAGCACCATAACAGTTATTGCTCCTGCTCACCATGGAAATAATACTACTGAAAGTTGGTCAGAATTTCATGAGGAGCAGTTAGACCACAATTCCTATGGGAGACCTCCAATGCCCAAAAAACGTTGCAGAGACTATGATGGTAAGCCTAGAAAGTTAATGCCAAAAATGCTGCCTAGAATCATAGAATAGTAGAGTTGGAGGGGGCCATGAAGGCCATTGCATCCAACCCCCCGCTGTTGCAGGACACGGGTTTACACTCAGATGGCTGTCCAGTTTCCTTTTGAATGTATCTAGTGTGTTGCCCTGCTAGGTATTGATGAAAAATAATTATTATCTATTTCAAAAGTCTTAAATCTTTTTCTTAAATAATTTCATACCTTCAGTATTTTTATTTTATTGTGTTAAATCTACATCTAAAAAGAGAAGTTAAGAAGCCTGACTTTTTTTTTCTTTTCTTTCTTTCTTTCCTTTTTTGCAGTTTTTATAAAGCTGCAATCCCATGTCCATTAAATTCGTAAACTGAGAAAAAGTTAATTTATATTAAAACATTGCAGGATTTTCTGATACTATCTTTTAACTTCTCAGAAAAGGGATTCTGTATGAGAGGAGATATGTGTCCATTTGATCATGGAAGTGACCCTGTGGTTGTAGAAGATGTGAACCTCCCAGGCATATTACCTTTTCCAGCTCAGCCCCCAGTTGTTGAAGGACCACCTCCTCCAGGACTTCCTCCCCCTCCCCCCATTCTCACTCCTCCTCCTGTAAACCTTAGACCTCCTGTTCCACCTCCAGGCCCTTTACCACCAAGCCTTCCACCTGTTACAGGTATGGTATTTCTTTTTGAATTATAAAGTATCTTTTTAATATGTAGACATTTTAGATTTATTTTTTCTGTCGGAGCTACGTATTAGATTGTGGGACTATTTTCTTATTCTGTAAGCGGCTATAAACTGTTCACTGTGAATGCCAAATAGAGTGTATTAATAATGCTTGAATTTTATTGAAATCAATGGAAATTTAGAACACCTTAGCAGCAGCATGGGAACCTAAGATTGGTATATACTATATTTATATAATATTTCATAATGATTCTCTGAATGATTTACAACATAGCATAAAATCAAAGCCACAATATTAAGCAATCATAAAACAAAATGCTTTTAAAAATGCTCCTACATAAATGCACAGGAGAGAACTAAAACACAATACTTGAGGTTAAAATGCCATTCAGATAAAATATTACTGGAAAAAATGTTTTTTGCCTGCTTTATGAATGAATGAAAATGGGGAGGAAGATTAGACAGTTGCACAGCTGAGTTTCTATCACTGAGAAGGCTTTAAATCATATAGTTTTTTGTCCCACCTCAAACAACAGGAAGCCTTTCAAAGCCTAAGAAGTCTCACTGCATGGTGGTGGAAAAGACAGAAGGAAATAGTCCTTTAAGTAAATAGAGTCTAGACCATGTAAGTTTTACAGGTCAAATTTGGCACTTTAATGATGCTTTGAAAGGAACTGACAACCCATGTATATCTTTTAGGAAGAGTGTTACATCCTATTGTTTGCTTTGGTTAAAATGTTGGGAGTTGAATTTTGATTCTAATTCAGGTAGCAAGCTGTGACTCAGTAATATATCACTGCTGCCCCTTTTACTGCCTCTCTACTGCTATTTTTCACTTCACTCCAGTGGAGAAGAACGTGATAATATTGTTCTAGCGTGAACCAACATAGATGGATTCGTTTGTGGTTGTTACAGGCTCAAATATGTATCTATGTGCTGAGGTTTTAACAGCTTGAAGCCAAGTGAAGGAACCTATCAATAGGTTTCCCTATGGTACTCTTTGCTGAAGAAAATTCAGAACACAGTCATTGTCTGGATCTAACAGGAGTACATTTTCTGCTGAGGGTGATTGTGTGATTGCCTTTTCTTCACTTTTGATACTTTGGTATTCTGGTTTTGATAGGACCACCACCTCCACTTCCACCATTGCAGCCCTCCGGTATGGATGCGCCTCCAAATTCTGCAACCAGTTCTGTTCCCACAGTTGTAACGACGGGTATTCATCACCAGCCACCCCCTGCTCCACCTTCTTTATTTCCAGGTGCAGGACTGCATTTTTTAATCAAGGAAAAAGAAATACCTCTTTGTTGTACTTAGGATCTGTAGAAGATGAGACTGTTGTTAGATGAAATCTAACAATTCCACTTATACAGCAGGACTTTCCCACCTTTCCTGTCCATGCAACCTCCTAATGTCCCCCAAAACCTGCTCTAGAAAGCAAGACTTTGAAGTCAAATAGGGATGTTGAATGGAGAGAGAATTGCCCCTTCCACTTTCTGCTAATGGAAGATTTTACCATACAATGGAAACTTGTTACTGGCAAGGAAGGCAAACTCTAGGTATTATAAGATAGCAGACTATGCTTTAGGAGGAAAAAAATCTCATACTCAACTGGATAAAAAGTATTGTGAGACTAGTTCTGTGAGCCCAGTGGAACATTAAATTTGTTTTCCATCAAACAATCAACTTCCTTATAGCAAATTGCTTTTGAAATTCACAAGAGTTTCAAAAATAGTTTGAAAAATGTCTTAAGTAGTCAGCTATAAAAAGAAAAAAAGTTATAGTGATGTCACATAAGTTCCTAACTCTTTGGATATGATGACTGTTTTTCATCAAAAAAGAATGTTTTGATCTATTCTGTACAAATTGTGTACATTGTGGATGCAGTGTTGCAAAGTTGTTTCTCTTGTGGCTCAGCATATCTAGTTTGAACTTGGAATTTCATAATAAATGTAACTGCATTGTAATGCAACCAAATAATTTCTGTTTCCCCAGAAACATATGATACAGATGGCTATAATCCTGAAGCACCAAGTATAACCAGCACTTCAAGACCCATGTATAGGCACAGAGTGCATGCCCAAAGACCAAATTTGATAGGGCTCACATCGGGTGATATGGACTTGCCACCAAGAGGTATAGTATAAGATTAATGACTGTAAGACTCTTTTGTCTTAGATGTATTTATTGATCTTCATTGTACCCATCCTTTCTATCAAAAATGGCACTTTTATCCACTTACAGATATAATGTAAATTGATTAAAACAATACAGTATAGTAACACAAAATAAAGGCATAATGCCTACAAAATAAAAATTAAAAACAGCACTCAATCCAAAATACCCACTTAAAATCCAAAGGTCTTCTTAACTAAAGTGGTCTTTGCCTGCTAGAAGAAGGGCACTAGAGAGGAGCAGAACCTAACCTCTCTTGGGAAGGATTTCCACAGCCTGTGAACATTCACTGAAAAGGCCTTCTCTCGGATTGCCACTGAATGTGTCTCTGAAAGCAGTAGTCTTGAAGGATGGGCCTCTCCAACTGGGCGGCCATATGTGGTCATTAAACTCCTTGAATATAGCCCAGCAGTGTTATCTAAGTCCCAGTAACCTTTTTTGCACAGGCTTGCCATGCAGGCATGCTTTGTCTCCCACAATTGAATTGTGTTCCCTCAGCTTGCCAGGTTGGAGGAGGCTTGTCCTGGGAGGATGGCTCTCACTGTGTGTGCCGTTCTCCCATCACATTCCCTTTGGCCCTGTCTGTGTTGGGGGAACTTGATATAAATGGGAAGGACAGTGAAGGGGCAAAGTCAGATCTTCATGGCATCCTTCTCATTTCAGTTGCACTCCTGCCTCCCAGCTGAATAAGTTAGGATGTGATGATGGGAAATATAGGAAGGCATCTCAGTGTGAGGCTTACACTGAGATTGGAAGATTTGGGGGGGTGAGGGGGGGATGTGTTCACATATCAAACTAAGTAACCCAGGGTGTTCCTTGTGCAACAACCAACCGAGTGTAAGCCAAACAAACTGGCACTCAGACCTTGCGCTGCAGACACCTTGGAAGGAGTCTTTGCTCCCCATCCCTACCACAGCTATGTGTCCTTATGGGCTCACTGCAGTTTTCTCCCCCCCCCCCCCGCCTTTTTGTGGGAAATCATGAAAGCCTGCTGCTAAACTGACTTTTATCATTTAATCTTTGACAGTCATGAGACACCTCTGCACCTTGTGCATCCCATTTTCACCTTGAAGGAACTGCCCAACATTTCTTTTTTTAAAAGTTTGGGTAGAAACCAGTATTTTTTAATTTGCAAGGGAATAATTGTGCAAAATAAAATTAAGTAAAAAAACCTTTTTAACATAGTTATGCAGTGTGGACTTTTGCAGTAGTTTGAGCATGGGAATTTGAAGCTTTGGATGAATCAAAGTCTAGATTCATTCTGGATATTGCTATAGCCAAGGATCCAAATTCATTTTTCACTCTTTGGCTCCTTTCTAACAGCTTTGTCCTTTAAAAGGACAATTAAAAGTGTGAGGGACCTTTTGCCGAGAATGGAGACCTTTTGCTGTTTATACACCCTTCATAGCAAGATCCTCACCTTATTCCCCCCCACCCCCATTTAGTTCCCATCAGAGTATACACTTTCCCTTTTTCATTTGGGGCCCTTCTTCTTTCTGGAGATCCCTTTTGCAACTTTGGGAACCATGCAAAAATAGCAGTTGCTACTATGATTGGTGGGTTAGGACTGTGAAAGGCATGGACTTTTTCCTCTTGTTTAGCCAATGACACAGATAAGTTGCACATTAATGCAACAATAATGAGTTGCCCAACTCTCATCCTGATTCCCTATTCTGCATTCAAAATATAGGGGGTATGCCTTTTTTTACCACTGCCATCATACTGCACTTTTGAGATGCAAAAGTAACCTTGCCACAAATGTAGCAGAAGTTATCTGCATTGTTTATACAGTTGCCAGGCATCTTGGCTACTAGGGGAAAATATCACACAGCTGTTCCTTGGAAATGTTAGGCAATGACACTTTCACAAGCCACTAGATGTAACTGTGTTGGGTAGATCTGACCAAGACAAATGTACCTTGCAATAAAAGAACAATAAATTACAGTTAGGTAATAATCTTTAGTCTCAAAGTGAAGATAAATTTATACACTTCCATGTGGTAACATTTTCATTGTTCTACCGTTCTTTGTCAAGAAATTCAGAGGCATCATGATCATCAGACACCTCCCTCCCCTGTAGGCAAATATACTCACCTGTGCATAAATCTTTATTGTGAAATATCTTAAAAACTTTAGCTAACCAGCACCTTTATCACCTGTTTTCTAATTCATCTAATCAAAATATGTAAGAATTAGCACATTTTATCTTGGAGGTCAATAATTCCCAAAATTTGTAGACCAGTGTTATCACAGTGGCTTGTTTCCCTTAAACAAGGGGAAATGCTCTAGATTCAGAAAACAGCAACCCGACATGGCTAGTTAACTACAAAAGTTTGCCACATCATGTGAATGCAGTCATTGTGTAATTGCTATGCCAAAGAAACCTTGAGGAAACTTATAGAAAACTTTAGGTGGCCTAAGATAAATAAGTTTTAATACTGTTAAAATATTTTGTGTCTCAATTCCGTAATAGGAACTCGATTTTCCTATTATGTCTGATTATGAGGTTTATATGCAGTTTATATCCTTGTAGTAAAGGAAGGCTCATCCAGCTGAGGAATTCATCAGGGCTGTGCTGATAGAGGAAATTTCAGGGATTTCTCCCTCTACTCCTGGTCATCTCAAAAAAAAATTTTTTTCCGTTTTGCTGATGGAAGCATCCATCATATTTAAGGTCTTCTACTCAGTGAAGGGGCAGCAGTAGGGCAAAACGCAACCAGTAGGTGTTTTAAGTTATCTTGAAGGCTTCTTTGGCATTAAAGACTGATATTAACAACTCAGTGAAAAGGAATGTGCATTTTAGGTATTTGATATAAGATTCTTTGTATCATGAAATGTTTCCCCCTTAAATGTGAAGAAAATAATATGTTAATCTTTTTGATTTTGGCTGGTGTTGTCTACTGCAGTGAAGTTGGCTGTAGGCTTATCTCACTATTTCTCTGACTGCTGTTCCAGTCACTTCTCTAAAGAAAAATGGTGTCTTTCTGCTCATGCATTACCATGAATTCACCTTCTAATTATCTAAAGCTTTGTAAAAAATAAATGCCTTTTCTTTTTAAAAGTAGGTACATCCAAGCCTTCAGGCTCACTCTCTGATAAGAAAAAAAGAGTACATGGTGTACTGGGCAAGAGAAGAGCATTATAAATCTATGAGAAGGGGACCTGGGTTCTGGGTTTCTGATCATCCCAGTGAAACAGCTTGCACTCGTGGGATAATCAAGAATATTCATTCTTTAGGTGGTCAAAAGTGCTAGCTGATGTGATTGATGCTTACAAAATCTGTCCTCTATTATTTTCCTAGTTTGCCAAGGTTTCTTAACTATGAATAAATACTTGCTAATAGGATCAGTCCAGAATAATTTTGGGAATGGGACCACTCACTCAAGAAAATATGCCTCAAAGGATTGGGTCCTTAACTTTCTATTTTCCTTGCTTATCCAGATATGGTTGCTTTATGATGTTCACATGGCCTGTATTACAGTAATTAGTAAATGTGACTTTTATTGGATGATCCCTCAGTTGTACTTTTGCTAGTATCATTATGCAAATGCACAGATATTTCAAGATATTACATATGATCTTATAAAATTGTCATGTTAGGTGCTTGGGAACTAGTGGTGATTCTGTTATCCTAACCTTTTAATCTGCTTTTGTTAAAAAATCTGTTTGCAGAATTGGGAGTTAACATATGGGAGAAATGGAATGGGCTTGGATACTTTTGGGTACCCTGCACATTACTAAATGCTATTTCTATTTTAATGTTTCCTGGCTTTCTGAAGCATTCCATATTTTGCCAGGGAATTTTCTTAGGTTTGGGGTTCACGTTAGTTATCTAGGGTTTAAAAAGGAGAGTCCTAGAAGATCTGATGGCTTCTGCTTCAGAGCAGTGGGATCAGGGTTATTTGCCTAAGAGCAACTTAGTAAACACTTCCTTGTACTAGTCTGGGGAACAACAGGACTTGCTGAAGGACTCAGGATTGTGTCATGGGGTTGTGCCTGAAAAGAGTTGGGGAAATTTGTGTTCAGGAGAGGCATGAAGAAGGAACCTGTAAGGCACTCCTGATCTACCCATGTTACATCTGTACTGTGCTTCTGTAACATCCTCCCCCACCTCTTGTCTGTTTTTATATTGAAAAATATCAAAGGAATCTCTTTCAGGCTGCTAGTCATAAGCCATCTGCTAAATATCTAGAGTTGAAAAGAAATTTTGCTTTCTGGGCAATGTATTCTGTAGATGCCCTGTGGGGGTTCTCACTTTTCCTTTTGAAGCATCTGTTTTTGGTATCTGTTGGAGACCACTGCTGAACCAAAGGGACCTTGGGTTTGAAGAAGTACAGCACTTAGTATGTTTCCAAAAATGCAGTAAGTCAGCTGATGGTAATAAGGAGAGAAATTCCTACTAAAAAATGCACAGACAAACATCCTTTAAAAATTAATCAGTGTACTCTTTTCTCCCACACAGAAAAACCTCCTAATAAAAATAGCATGAGGATAGTGGTAGATTCTGAATCGCGAAAAAGAACGATTGGTGCAGGTGAAGGTGTTCCAGCAAAGAAGAATTGGTTTGATAAGTGAGTAGCTGTTAGACCTATTATGTAATAATGTGTAATCTTTTAAAGACTCACGTCCCTTTGAGGTCTTCCAATTAAAATAGTTGCTTTTCGTTTGGAAACACTCCTCTCCTCCCACATACATTGATACTCACAATGGAAAAGTTGTTTTATTTACCACAGGCTGCTTGATGCACACTATCTTCAGCTATCTGTACGTGGTAAGCACTGTGATAGTCAGCACTTGTCCTTACTCATTGACTAACATATATTTGAGTTAGATTATGGATGCAGCTCAAGTAATATAGGCCTTTTAGTTGTTGCCTGATCACTCTTGATTTATTTCTAAATGAGGAAAGAAACTTACTCTTCCTATTCTCTTCATTCTTAGAATAATGTTAGTGATGTTCATCATAGGAATTGTAGCAGCCCAATGCAATCCTCAGGTCATTGTTGTATTCCAGGCAAAACTTTAATAGAACAAACAGTCCAGCTTTCCAGAAGAAGGTGCAGTTTGGAAATGAAAATACCAAACTTGAATTGAGGAAAGTTCCTCCAGAACTTAATAATATCAGCAAGCTAAATGAGCACTTCAGCAAATTTGGAAATTTGGTAAACTTGCAGGTGAGTAATGTCTGACAATTTTCTTGCTTTATTGGAACAGCATTATAAAACTGATGTGCCAATTATAATTTGGATCATGAAGGTGCTTTAATAATGAAGATCTGAACAATAATTTGATGTGTTCTTAGCATAAAGAGAAACGATTTGTTCTTAGTATCTCCACAAAACAGTGCTTGGCTTTTCTACATTTATCCCCCCTTTCCTCATTCCCGTTGCCTCTGTCACTTAACAATATCAGCAAACCTAAATGGTCCCTTAGCACCCTTGCTTCTGTTCCTGCTACCTTTGTCTCCTTACTGCAGGCTTCTACCAACCACCTCTTAGAGGAAGGGTAAGCAATATTCAGGCTGCATGCATCCTTCCCCAGCCTGCTGAAGTGTTGAATTTTAGCAGTGTTAAAAAAAGGAAAAGAAAAAAGTCTGCATTTTATGCTTAAACCAGAGTGCCCCGAGGAGTGTCTAACCTATTTTAATGTAAAATTGTGCTCCCCCAACACTTCTAGGAGTGCACTTAGACATTGCAATAGATTTTGCTGATGCTACTAAATAGTGTTAGAAAGTTCTCCCATTTGTGCTGTTCACCTGATCATCTCCAAACGACTATTACTACTTGACTATCATTGAAAATCACAGGTTGCCTATCAGGGAGATCCAGAAGGTGCTCTCATCCAGTTTGCTACCCATGAAGAGGCAAAGAAAGCTATTTCAAGCACAGAAGCAGTGTTAAATAATCGGTTTATCAAAGTTTATTGGCACAGAGAAGGCAGTGCTCCGCCAATGCCAGCTTCAGTGCAAAAGGTAAAGGGGCTAGAAACTTGCTTTGTTTTGATAGCCCATTTAAACTAAAATTGTAGCACATCTTGTACTGTTAATTGTACTGTAAATTGTGTATATGAGGTAGAACTGGCCACTCATGGGCCTTTGTAGCAAAATTACTTGAACTTTCTTTAAGTAGTTTTACCCCTTGCCCCAATTGTGGTCCTGTCAAGTTTAATGACAAATATTTTCAGGCTTTGAGAAACAAAAATATTCTACATTGCTTTCTTTTGAGTTCCTTCCTTTGGGTGACAAAATGGCAAGTTATCTGAGGAATATGATGAAGTTGCCTATCTACTGTATGTTAAACTCATGGCAGCAAATCATATGACAGTTTTAAATGGAGCATGGAAGTTATTTTTGTTATTTCGATGACCCTATATGGCAGTCATATATCCTGCTATTTTAAAATAAAATTTCTTCTGTTTCTTTAACAAGACCAAGTCTGTCTGAAATAAATATATACTTAAAAGTAAATTCCTCTGATTAAACCAGTTGAGGACCAGGCTTCAATTGCTTTATAAATCCCAGTACAATATGTATCAGTCACCATAATTTGTGAAGCATTAAAAGTACTTATAGGAGAGCATTTTATAGGGAATGGCAGAAAATAGTAAATATTTTTACTGGAAAGAAAATTGAAGGATATTAAGATTTCTCAAAAAACAAAATTGTGAAGAAAGGAATATGAGAAAATATTCTTCGGGCATTTACAGGCTTTAAAAAATTGCATTCTCTAGAAAACTTCATTGATAGGAGATTGCTGGTGATAATGCTTTTCCTTGCTAGCTGTACTGTAGCAACAGCTATACTAGAGATGTCTGGAAAGCCAGTTTTGGAATAAATAGAATTAATTCTGTCCTCACCCGCAGGCAAGTATCTGCTGCTCAAATATTCTTCCAGAAAATAAGAACAAAATATAGCAAGATAATTTACACATTTGAACCTTTTCTAGAAGATAGTATATTAATTGCTGTGTGGATTTCCTTAATAACTATTATAAAAATAAGATAGCAGCCTGGTTCAGATAGAGCATAATGTTACAGAAAAAAGCCCACAAAGTCTCTGTCTTGTGCAGGGAGGATTTTTATTTTATTTTATTATTTGTGCTAAGTATGGTTTGTTGTGATGTCTGAACTCCAGAAACTATGATTTATTCCAGCTGTGATTAGGCAAAACAAACCATTGAACTGGGAAGATTTGGAAGACAATTTTCAGTTTTAAATTAATTTATTTTTAGAATTGAGTAGATAGTTTTAGGTCTGCGGCCTTATAAATCAGAGTACTGAAAATAGTAATACTTTTGCTAAAATATATAATCTTTTGCTAAGCATAATTAACTATCAGTTAAATACTCCTAATTTACAGAGCATAGTAAAAAATGGGAATATATGCACTTATAGATACATATCTAGCAACTATTTTTTTATTATTATTATTATTATTATAACATTTCTATACTTTTCTTTCAGTCAAAGTATTTATATACTACTAAGAAGATTTTCTTTTCTTTTAAGGTAATACAGCCCTTAACCCAGCAACCCATTTTACCTATTGTGAAGCAGTCAGTCAAGGAACGATTAGGCCCAGTACCTGCCAGTAACATTGAGCCTGCTGAAGCTCAGAGTGCCAGTACAGAAGCAATTCAGGTGACTATAATATTATATGTATAACATTTTATAAACATTAGATAGCAGTAAAACTAAATGTCACTTTCCTAATAGGCAAAGGCTTTTTATTCCCTATACATGGGTGACCTTTAGTAATCATAATTGTATTTTTGAATAAAACCCAAGGGTATGCAGAGAGTTGGCAGGGGGACTCTCATGCCTGCTGGCCTCCATTTTTGAGGCCTCGTGGAGAATGGGTGAGGTTCCAGAAGACTGTAGGGTGGTGTCAGTGGTCCCAGTCTTCAAAAAGGGTAGTAGAAGGGACATGGGGAATTTCAGACCGGTTACCCTTGTAGAAAAGACAATGGAAAGGCACATAATAGTGAGAGAACTAGTAACCCTAGATAGGGAATGGAGGTTGGCGGCCACACAACATGGCTTCCTCAAAAACAGGTCCTGCCAGATAAACCTTGTGGAATTCTATGACAAGTTTGCGAGGCTGCTAGACAGAGGTGACACAGTGGATGTGGTTTACCTGGATTTCAGCAAGGCCTTTGACAGAGTGCCTCATGATACCATGGTTGAGACGTTTAGGAATGTTGGGATAGACCAGTGCACTGTCCAATGGATTAGAACATGGTTGACAGACCAAAAGAAAGGGTAAGTATTAGTGGGGAATCATCGGGATGGTGGCTAGTGATGAGTGGGGTACCCCAGCGCTCAATCCTGGAACTGATCCTGTTCAGTCTTTTCATCAATGACCTGGAAGAAGGGGTGACCAGTCTGCTGATAATATTCGCAGATGATACTAAAATAAGGGCAGTGACCACAACTGAGGAGCAGGTACTCCAGATCCAGTGTGAGAGCCAGTGTGGTGTAGTGGTTAAAAGCATGGGACTGGGACTCAGATGACCTGGGTTCTAGTTCCCGCTCAGCCATGGAGCCAACTGGGTGACTTTGGGTCAGTCACAGAGTCTCAGCCCAACCTACCTCACAGGGTTGTTGTTGTGGGGATAAGATGGAGGAAGAGAATGATGTAAGCTGCCTTGAGCCCTTTGTAGGAAAAAGACAGGATATAAATCCAAAAAAATAAAAAATCCAGAAGAATCTGGACAGACTGTGCGAGTGGGAAGGTGACAACAGGATGGCGTTCAGTGCAGATGAGTGCAAGGTATTGCACTTGGGGCATAGAAATGGGTGTCATTGGTTGGGAGCATAGGAATGGGTTAGGGGACAAGTGCTAGAGAACACCACTTATGAAACGGATAACGAGGTACTGTTTGACTGCAGGCTAGACATGAGTCAGCAGTGTGACGCAGCAGTCAAGTGGGCGAACAACACCCTTGGTTGCATAGCCAGAAGCGTGGCTTCTAGATTGAGAGATGTATTATTACCACTCTATACGACTCTGGTACGCCCACACCTGGTGTATTGTGTTCAGTTTTGGGCTTCACATTACAAGAAGGATATAGCCAGGTTAGAGTCAGTGCAGCATAGGGCCACAAGGATGTCAGGATTGCAGGGAAAGCTGTATGAGAGGAGACTGAGGGAACTGGGTCTCTTCAGCCTGGAGAAGAGGAGACTCTGAGGGGATTTGTTGCAGACATATAGGTACGCGAGGGGGTGTCACACGGAGGTGGAAGACCTGTTCTCGCCTGCAGAGGAGAGCAGGACGCATTCCAAAGGGGTGAAGCTCAGGGAACCAAGGTTCAATTTGGATACCAGGAAGTACTTCCTGACAATTAGGACCCCAAGGGTATGTAATGGGCTTCTGTGGGAGGTGGTTGAAGCCCCATAGCTGGGGGTCAGACTATATGGCTTGAGCAGCCCCTTCTGACCCACTGTGTTCCTATGATATTTGTGTGCAAATCAACTGATATCAAGTGCCAGTATCAGATGACATTAGCATTTTCTCTTCAACCTATAAAAAGTCCAAAGACCACAATATGGGGAAAATATAGTATAAACTAGCTTGTGATTTAACATTGAGTCCTACAAATCTTATGCAGCCTGGTAGAAAACATTAACATGGCATGCTTGCTGCCCAAAGCCCCACAGATGAATAAAATTAATTGATTAGCCATTTTCCTGAATGCTCAGGACTACGGTTGAAAATGTTGTTTGTATTCCTGGAGGCAGTCAGGTTTTTTGTCATACTGCTCTTTTGCCCAACCTTAGGAATGTTTTACTCTTGTGCCATTTCTTTGGCTTGTGTGTGGTGCCCATAAGCACAATTGACTTGTTACGTTCTTCATACCCTGTTGTTCCTGGTGTACAGGAATTAGAACACGTCTTTGGTTCTGCATACATTGTGTATTGTATAGTGGTATTATCAGATCTCTGTCTCTCAACTCATTTGTGTATCTTCCTAGTTTTCTCTCCCCCTTTCCCAACACTTAGAAGCACACTGGGGCAGGGTGTAGAATTGGATCTCTAAACCTGCTTTTTGAAGTCTCAGCTAAAAGCTCAACTTTTTTGGTCTATGGTATGGCACATTTGCAGGAGATATACTTTGATAAGCTAAAGTTGTTTTCTTTCCTCCTGTACTTTTCCATCTAAATAAAACAACACTAATGGCAAATGATACTCTGCTAAGTCCAGTAGTCAAGAGCTGTAGTTCAAAAACTGTAGCTGTAGTGCTGCCTTTGTCAGTGGAGCCTTATAATTATGTAGAATTGCTTATATAGATTATGGATGCAATTTTAGGGGAGCAAGGTTTAATCTTGCATGGGTGGAAGTAAGTCTCAGTTGTTGGACACAGTAGCAAGCAGTGAGCTCCAGTGCAGAGCTTGGCTAACCATGTTTCACTAACCTTTCTCCTGGCATTGAAGAGCTACATGTGTACAGTACAGCAGCTCATTTTACAAAACGAGTTTGCCACAGTTTGTTCTGGAGCTGAACTCATATGGCCATGGTTGACAGGTAAATTGCAGTGCTGCCTTGAAATATCTATTTTATGCATCTAATGGAGATATATTTTGGACAGAGATGACTTTCTAGAGCTGAATTTTTGAAGCAACATATGCAGCTATCAGCCCATTAATTAGTATTATTGTATTATTACTTTCATTTATTTTTCCTCTTGTGAGGAATCCAAGGCAGCTTACATGGGTCTTCTCCACTTCATTTTATCCTCATAACAACCCTGTGAGGTAGGTTAAACCAAGAGTCTTTGACTGGCCTAAAGGTACTTGGTGAGCTTCATGGCTTAGGTGTGGGCTATAACCCAGATCTTCCAAGTCCCCAGTCTAACAATCTTAACTACCACACCACCTCTCAGATTGAATTCATTAAGCCAAATATTCAGGTACAGCTTCTCCCACTAGTTGACTTTCTTGAATTCTTGTATCCTGTAGTCTGGATCACCTTAGATCAGATTCCTTTTGCTTGGCAAGACTGGGAAGAAATTTATATTATGATCCTAACTGAAAGAGTTTCAACCTTTTCATATTCCTGTAGTCACATGTGAGAGGAGAGGGTTGGAACATTAGCAGTCTGTGGACTAAGTCTTAGGCTTTGGAGTAAGAGGAGGAGGACAGTTGTATACTGTAAGACTGCCTTTGTTGTTGGACTGTCCTGAGACTTTTATGTATACGACAGGGTACAAAAGTTTTAAATAAATAAATACAACACCTTGGTGGCACCTGCATCATATAACTGGGAAAATATAAAACCTGCTTCTGTGTGTAGCAGTCAGCTACCTAAATTGACCTCCTTTTATTCCATTCTTCTCTTTTCTGCCTAGCAGATGCTGTTGGTACTACCTTCTCTCTTGGTGTCAATTCATATACTTGTTTGCATTATATCTGTTCACAGCCTCTTTCCTCTCCAAGGTTGCTACTGTATGTTTGGGGCGGAGGTGACACAGAGCTTGAATCTACATACAGGAGCAGTATGGTGTCTGCCACAGGACAGTTTGTCCATTATTAGTAGTACAATAATACTAATTAATGGGTTGATAGCAGCCTCATCATTCTCCATCCTGGGCTCTTTCCAGACATTTTGTGAGCTCTGGGGCCTTCTTGATTTGCTGCTGACAATAATTCCCATTCAAACTCTTCGTATGTCTGCCTCCCCTAAACATCCTGCAATGCAAACAGCTCTTGTAGTAATAGAGAAAGGTGTGGTACCATGTTGATGTGATGATGATGCTCTGCCTTGACATCCTTGCTGAGAGGATGGGCAGATGCAACTGACTTCCTGAAACCTGCTGTACCCAGTAAGGAAACAACTTCCTGACCATCACCATGACAGCTAAATTGGGGCTTCTTGCTTTCCTGTGTGGCAAGCACTGCCTCTTGCTCTTGAAAACTGCAGGAGGCTGTGCCAAACCCAGCTCTCCACCCTGCCTGCTGCTTTGGACACTTGTGAGCCCCTTTGCTTGTTTAGTCATCCTAACTGTAGTGTACTTAGAAAACATCTAAAATTGAAAGTACTTCAGAAATGCTAGCTTTGTGTAGATTGCTTTACACAGCAATGGCTGTGACTGATTTGAAAATACATAATTATTAATCCTTAAAGAAGTACTTCTTTTTTCCTAGAATGTTACAAAGCTGTCTGTGAAGGACAGATTGGGGTTTGTACCTAAACCACCTATTCCAACTACTGAGAAGGTAAGTACATAATAGTGCTTGCTCAGTGAACTGTCAAACTGCTGCATTATCACTCTTACATTTTGCAAATGCAAAATGGCTGCATGCAGTTTTAAAACTGGTAATAGAATGCTGACATAAATTAAACCTCTGATAAAGTTGATGAAGTAGCTGTGTTTGTGTAGGTATCTTCAACAAAACTAAATTGCGGTTATTGGTATGCATTTCAGGAGAGGATTGTTAGCAAGGCTTGCTTGAGTTTGCATGGAGGAGGACCTTTAAAATGGCAAAATGATTATAGATTGGGAAATGTCCTTTGGTGTGGTGGGGAGGATGATCATTTCTTACTGTGATCCTGCCCCATTGGTACTCAGTGGTGGTTGGACCCACTGAGGTGTGCTGCCTCATTCCCAAAGACCTTGAATGCTCTTGGCAAGGGGTCAGTCACACTGTATTTTACTTGTGGTATTGCACCTTTATTTCTTGCATGGTCTCCTTAGTTATGTGACCTGCATTCGGTCCTGCCTGAACCTATGCTATTCTGCCAGATGAAACTACATGATAGAAAGTGTATATACCAACTAAGTAAACTGGGTGTAGCATCTTAGATTACTAATTTCATTTATTGCTTTGATTCTAGGCTTAGATTCTTTGGATTGCTGAATTAATATGAATGATGGGCCTCATGATCATTTATCTAGTTTAAACATGTCCATATTCATATTTGTTAGAATCTGTGTAGCAAAAAGGACAGGGGAATAGTAACAGGGGAAGTCTTTAATGGAGAACTTAAATGTTTGTGAGTACAGAAAATAGCTTTTGATAGTCTTGAATGCATTTCTTCTGGCTCTTATCAAGTAACTTATCAAAGCACAAAAACACACCTCTCCACTTACAACTATATCATCTCCCATATAAAACCTATGACTTGTTTTAATAAAGCTACTTCCATATATGAGGACACAAAATACCATCTACTACTAATTTTTGAATTTTGGATCCTTTAATATGCAACGGCATGAGAGAAAAGATACTGGTTTTCCTTTGCTATTCTTTTTGTGGAGAGAACAAGGACTATGCTAGGCTTCTGAAACAGATAGTTAGTTCATCCTGGTACTTTTGCAAGTTTAATTTCCTCTCTGAATTAAAGCTATTTATGTCTTTGATTTTGTGCCAGGTGTGTAAAAACAGCCACCAGCTGTTCCATATTTGTTGCAGATCAGAGTAGCCCACTGTAGGCATGCTTGAAGAATGCAGAGTTGCATATTCCAGAGCATATCACCTGATTTACAGCTACTTAATTGATCTGAAGTGGTGGAATCCACACTACATTTTTGAGGCAGTCTAAGGGCTGCATATATATAGACAGAGACAGAGATAGAAGTTTTTTGCCAACATGTCAATCATACTGGCACATCATCCTGCACAGGGATCGGTGTTCCGGAAAAAAAAGATGGCTGCTGTTAAGTACTCATAGATAAAACCAGCTTTTTATCTATGGAGCTGCTCCAGGTTGCTAGAAAACTTTAGTCATAGAGGCCCATTTATTTGCTCCAAAACTATAGAATGTGCTTCCAAAATAATTATGTTTGGCTCCCACGCCTGTGGCTTTTGGAAAGGTTGAAAGGACACATCTTCTTTAATTAGTCTTTTATATTATGTTCCTCCCATACAGTCCTCTGCCTAGCAAATCTCTCTTGAAACTGAGAAAAGTTTAAAAGCAATTTGGAGTGTATAATGGAGATCTTACATTTAAAGGGAAAAAGTAAAAATCTTGTTGGACATCTCTAAGCCTTAAGTAAAGATCATTAGGAAGATATGTTTTTGAGTTTTTCTCTTGCAGGCGTTTGCCTGGAGAAACATTTCTCTCTGGAGAATTTGTTCTTATAAAAAACTTTGTAGCCTTATAGTAAACAGTTAGATGGGGAAGAGGGAATCTCCTTCAGTTGTACTGATACAATTTCCTAATGAAATTTAGACAAAAGAGTATTGTTCAGTGTTTTGTACATGTACTTGGCCTGAATTGGTTAGAAACAAAACTCTCCCCATGTCTGATTTACTGGTGGCTTGTAAGAGTTTTACCTTCTCATGACTTGCTTGTTTGAGTTACTGCCTTTTGTTGTTGTTTTTAATGAAACAATATTGTATATTGTACATATGTGGTTCTTCTTAGGCATATGATAGTGGTATACCTATAGCGAGTCACTGATAGCTGGGGAATTAGCTGCTCTCTGCAGCCTAAAATGCCTCACACATGTCTTGGGCTTCCCCCCAGCTGATCAGCTGTTATCTAGGACAGGGATAACAGATTGTATGTCTGCCAGTGATTCCTGTGCAGAGTTGGCTGATGGGGTCAGGCTTTTAAGTTTGCTGCCTTCCCAAAGATCAGAATTGCTGGGATGTGGGACAGCGATCTTAATTATCACCCATGATTCCTGTGATCCAATTGCCTGATCTCAGTAGGCAGGAAAGGAGGTTTAAATTGCTCTGTCCTTGCATGCTGAAATGTTGGGAGGTGGGGAAAGAATGTATGCACATGGCTGTGTACATGCACACCACACTTGATCCACCACATATTGGAACATGTGGCCCTCAGGGCCAAAGCAGTTGCCTTTCTCTGGAATAGGTGGCAAAATGCACTTCGGCTAAAGAGCTCTATGGCTTTATAAATGAGGCCATTGGTCAGCACGTACAGTATTCATCCAAAGAAAAGTGAGAGAATTGGAAGTATCAAATTTTTGTAATCAGCAGGTGATGTTGAATGGGCTGACAGTATTCACTGGCTTAAAAATCATCCACAACATGCATGTTGACAGAGGGACATGTTAATGAAGATCAGGTGCCTATTCATGTAGCTAGCTGTTCTTCGTCGTGGCCTCTGTGCATCACACATATGGGTGCTGTGCCTGCACAGTGCCTAGGTCGGAAAGATTAAAAAGCTAATGGTTTTTAGCAGGAAAACTCCGCTCCCCTCCCCCTCAGTACTATATATAGAGCAGAGTGTCCGCCATTTTCTCAGTCTTTTGTGACCGCCGTTCGCTGTGCCTTGTGCCTGTTCGCTCTCGCACTGACTATCTTCCTTGCTACTTACCGCTAGGACAGACAAGTGTGGCCACTGCCTGGCTTTCACCTAGCAAGCCAGGAAGAACCGGGAGAATCATCTCCGTAAACTGCTCTGGGACCAGGCCCTGATGCAGTCAGACCAGTTGGTCTCAAAACCTGGCTCTGCTTTGGCCGCGCCTCCTCAGCACTCTGCCTTGGCCGCGCCCTCTCAGCGCCCTGCCTTGGCCTCTGCTGTTCCTTCATCATGCCCTTTGGATGAAGGCACTTCCTCAATGGGAACCCAACAGCTTCCTTCCCCCCTACTAAACAATGGGAGAAGAGAAAGCACAGCAGCTCCGATAAGTCCTCTGGCCATAAGAAGGCGAAGAAGGACAAGGAGGATAAGCCGGCTCAAAAGGGGAAGAAGCCCAACCACTCTAAGCATCGTGGTTCGGGTTTGTCTGGGCTCTCGGGACCGGCGGCTGCTACGGTACTGACCCCATCGGGACCGGCCCTGCAATCGGCTAGGCAGGTTACTCCGCTGGGATCCCCCAGACGCGTTGTATGTGCCAAGAGTGCGTCCCCTCGATGGTCTGAGGCGCCGATGCGGGAGTCTTATCTCGGATGGGGAAATCTGTGACTCCCCACCGAGGACCCGCTCACCAACCCCGATGCCTCTGTCTGGTCCGGCTGCGGAATCTTTTCCACCTTCTCGACACCGAAGCTTCTCCGCTGAAACACATCGAAGCCGCTCCGCTGAAAGGCAGGCCCATGACTGGGACCGACCCAGCTACGGAGGCTTCACGGGCTGGGGTGAATATCACTCATTCGGATATTACCCGTCGGCACAGGACCATCCATCGCCATCGGTCCCAAGGGAGGCGCCGTCCACTTCTGGTCATGGAGAAAGGAGGCACCCCACTTCACCGGGGAATTCATCATCTAACGAGCACTACTGCTATGAAGGCAACTCGGATGAGTCGGAGGTTGACTCTATCTCCCCTGATGTGGCCATTACCTCCCAAGGCCCAGGGTCCCCAGATGAGTCCCACATTACTTTTGGGGAGCTCATGTCTAGGCTTGTTCGGTCGCTGGAGATCGAGGCACAACATCGCCCCGGTCCCAGCACCGATAAGTTCTATGACATCATCAGGGGGGAGCATTCAGCGGCCATCGTATTGCCCCTTATTACCACGTTTCGCCAAGCGATGGTTCAGCCCTGGGATCTACTGGCTCAGCCGCAGGCCACCTCTCGTCAATACCAGGCAATGTACCGGGTTTGGGAGGACGATATTCCATTCCTCCTACGTCATCCGAAACTGAACTCAGTGGTGGTCGAGTCGTCCCAGAGCAGGGAAGCGAGGGGCCATACAGCCCCCCGTGACAAGGAGGGCAGTAAGATCGATATGCTAGCACGCCGAGTCTATGCGGCCTCTGGACTCGGCCTCTGCATATCAAACTACGAGGCGACACTTGCACAATACCAATTTTTTATCATGCAAAAGTTGGAGAACTTCGCCTCCTCCCTGCCTTACCACCAAGCGAACTTGACCAAAGTTTTTATAAAAGAAGCGATGCAAGTGACCATACAGCAACTTTCAGCTGCACGGCATCATGTAGACACTGACTCCAGGGCCCTAGTCGGTGCCATCTCCCTCCGGAGGCACGCTTGGCTAAGAAGCTGCAGCTTCCCGGAGGAGATGAAAAGGAGAATTGAGGAGAAGCCATTCATTAGGATGGGACTCTTCCACGCTAAGACGGATCGCAAGCTTAAGTCAATTCACGAATCGCGAGTGACAGTGCGTCGTATGGAGATCCCAATGTAGCAAAGGTGTAAGTGGTCCTGGTCCCGCCCATCGTACCGCCAGCAATTCCAACCATGACAGCAGTACCAGCAGAGTCAACAGCGCAGAAAGCAGCAGCCACAGCAACGCTTCTCTCAGGGCCGTCGGCATTTTGATAATGACAAGCACCAACGCTGACGGGCCCGGCAGACCTTTCCATCTCTCCAACTCCCACCTTTCCCTCTCCCTTTTGGGGATCGGCTCCAAAGCTGACTCCCCATTTGGGAGTCCATCACATCTGATCTGTGGGTTTTATCCATCATACAGCTCAGATACAGAATAGAATTTGACATCGTTCCTCCGTCGAGCCCGATCTGATTTACACCTTGCTCTTCGGTATTGCGAGATGAAGTTTGTCAACTACTTCGTAAAGGAGCGATTGGACAGATCTCTCATTCTGAGGGACTCCATGGATTCTATTCCAGATATTTTACAGTCCCTAAGCAGGACGGTGGTCTCCGTCCTATCCTGGACTTACGAAACATTAATAGGTTTATCAAGCCTAAGAAATTTCAGATGACCACTCTTCAAAATATCCTTATGTTCCACTCTTCAAAATATCCTTATGTTGCTGAGGAGAGAGGATTGGTTTGCCTCACTGGACTTAAAGGATGCTTATTTTCACATCTCAGTTCATCCTTGTCACAGATGCTTGTTACAATTCACCATCGGTTCCGACATCTTTGAATTCAATGTCCTTCCATTCGACTTGCCACTGCTCCAAGAGTCTTCACAAAGTGCCTGGCTCTGTGTGTACATATCTGCGGCTTCAGGGTATCCAAGTGTATCCTTATCTGGACGACTGGCTTATTGTTTCCCAGACTAGGGATTGCCTTCTGTCAGCGGTCCATACAACTTGATCACGTGCAGAACCTTGATCACGTACAGAGTCTTTTAGACGCTCTAATAGACTCTTTGTGAAATATTCAGAACAAGACAAAGGCTCTCCAGTCACGTCTCAAAGACTATCGAAATGGATTGTTCAAACTATTGTGTTGGCATATCAACTATCAAAGATAGACTTACCTGTCTCTCCTCCGAAGGGTCACTCTACACGAGCAGTAGCGGCATCATCTGCATTCGTTGCGGGGATCCCGATTCAGGATATCTGCAGAGCTGCAACCTGGGCTGCTCCATGTACCTTCGCCAAGCATTATCGCCTCGATGTGCGTGCCAGACAGGATTGTTCTTTTGGCAGAGCAGTCCTCTCAGCCATTCTTCACTGATGACACCTCCCTCCTCCGAGTCTGGTAAGCTTGCTAGTCACCCATATGTGTGATGCACAGAGGCCACGACGAAGAAAAGCAGGTTGCTTACCTGTAACTGATGTTCTTCAAGTGGCCATCTGTGCATTCACACAACCCACCCGCCGGCCCTGCTCAGTGTCGGTGAGTGGATTCGTCTGTCGGTACCATACTCTTATAGTCATGGTATGTATATTTTAAACTTATTCTAATACTTTTCTCCCGAAAGGGGGTGAATGATCGGTCGTTTAAAGACTGAGAAAATGGCGGACACTCCGCTCTTTATATAGTACTGAGGGGGAGGGGAGCAGAGTTTTCCCACCAAAAACAGTTAGCTTTTTAATCTTTCCGGCCTAGGCACTGCACAGGCGCAGCACCCATATGTGTGAATGCTCAGATGGCCACTTGAAGAACATCAGTTACAGGTAAGCAACCTGCTTTTTTCCATAGTTTATATAAAGTACAGTGGTACCTCGGCTCACGAACACCTCAGTTCACGACCAATTTGAGTTGCAAACAGAAATTTTTGAAATTTTTTCCTCAGGTCATGAACTTTGCATCAGGTGACGATCGTGATCACACCATCTTCCCTTCATGGGCGTGATCACGGTCGTGCTCTGGAGGGGGGGGGTAGATGGCCGTGATCATACTTGGGGGGAAGATGACCGCAATTGCACCTGTCTTCCCTCCACGATCGCGCCCGTCTCTCCCCATCCCTGAGCGTGCCTGTGATGGTGCCCGTCTTCCCTATGATTAAAAAAAAAAAAAACCTTATTTACATTGAACCTTATGAGGAAATTTGACTTGGCTTATGACCAATTTGGGTCACGACCAGAGTCGTGGAATGGATTAAGTTCGTGAGCCAAGGTACCACTGTATACAAGGTACCACTGTATACTGAATGTTGAGTCAGCAGATGTTTCTGTTTAACTTGACCTTTGTACTTAAGGTTTAAGCATGATTGCTGTCTTCACAATCACAGCATAAAATAAAACAGTTTCCTTCTGTAGGTCTTGTCGACTTCTACTGGCTTGACAAAAACAGTGTATAATCCAGCTGCATTGAAGGCAGCTCAGAAAACGTTGCCTGCTGTTAACACTTCCATGCTAGATTCTAGTGAAGCACAGAAGAAAAAACAGGTAAATTTAACTATGTATTTCCATCAGTAGTTGATTTTGTTAGTTACCACATCTAATATATGTATTTCTTAGAAATTCTTAGAATTTGTAAAAGACCAAATTACCTTTGTTCACTGGGATCTTTGTTTCGTTTTAAAATTTAGTTTATCAGTTGCAATTTGAGATGTTTATTTGCAACACAGACTAAATTTGAAACTGATTGCATGGATACATTTAGGAAGGAATGTAATTTTTTTTCTTTTATCAAGAGGTAGCAGCTTGTTACTCAGGTACTATTCGAATAATTCATCTGCCTTCTAGGGTTACATGGCCCCATGTTGACTTGTTTAGTATTACTTTGATCATCTTTTTTTTCTGTGATTCATATAGAATTGTGTTTACAGTTGTGAGTTTTGGATAAAAGAAGCATTTCTTCATTCTGTGTTTCTGCTCTTACTCTGTTAGGAAAATGAGTAGCACTTGCAATTTTCACTCTCCCCTCTCTTTCCGTCTTTTTCTTCTCTTTGGAGCTGACTGTAGCTACTAACAGTGTTTACCATCAAATCACACATTGCAAGTATGGTTAGAAGTGGTTTGTAAACTTGTGTTCAAGCTATCTCGGGAAAACATGGATTCACATGTAATGCTGCACAGGCATTATAGAACAAAGAGGAGGAAGGAAAGTTGAACGCGGAAGGAGAGAAGGATGGGGGATATTCCACATGAGCTGTTGCTATCTTCTAATTAGGGCCTCAGATTTGCCTCAGTGCCTGACTTCCAGTACTGTGATGTTAGCTACACACATAAAATCATCATAGATTCTATCTGGCCTGCTGCAATACTTTATCTTATATCTGTATGGTCAAGAGATCACAAAAGAGGCTCCTCTAGAAATAAAGGTATTATATTTTAATAGTGTGAAATACTTTTCAGTGCCAATATTTCCTTTGTGTCATAGAAACATAGAAACAGAGCGAGTCAGAAGGGGCCTCCCGGGCCATCTAGTCTGACCTCCGGCACCAGCCGGCTCCGCTCACAACATGCCCACCATGTGGACGTCCAGCCTATCCTTGAACAATGTTACAGTATTATCCATTTTCTGATTTTGCTAATGTACTCCTTTGTTTTATGTATTTGAATTTATATCACTCCTTCATTTATCTCACTCTTCTAAACAATCCTGATTTTTTCATCCTTTTTTAAAGGAAAGATTATCTGCCTTGGCTCTTTCTTTACTCTAAACTTTTTTGTATTTCCATATTCTTAGAGATTATCTTATTTCCATTTCTGCATGATTAGGATGAGGATGAAACACTGTTATACCAATATTTTCTGTAAAATGTTTATGGTGTTTTTTATATGACAGATTTGTTGTGAACAGATTGCATTCTGCATAGTATCCTTCTGGAATACATGTAGTACATAAAACTCTGTAAAGGGGTGTATAAGCTTATGTTAAAATTAAAAAGTTAGAAATGTTAAATTTTCATCCAAGGAAACAGATTTATCAGCTTATACTTAGAAGTTATTAGTCTTTGAAATTTGTTAAGAGCATGAACATTTGCTTTTAATGTTTGGGCAGGAGATGAGGATTTCAGTTGAGCAATATAGCTAATAAAGTTTGTTAGCCTCTGTGATTCATTCCCATATGTAATATTTTGTCATTTTGGTGACCTGTTGCAATAGCAGCATAGTAAAAATTCCATAGATCTTGATCTCCTTCATCCCTACCACCAGAATCAAATGAGTAGCATACTGTCATGCTTGCTGTATGCTGTATGTAAGAAAAAGAGTGAGTCAGAAGGGGCCTCCCGGGCCATCCAGACTGACCCCCGTTTCTAGCCGACTCTGCTCAAGACATGCCTACCATGTGCATTTCCAGCCTAACACCTTCACCAATGGGCCTTCACCTATACATTTAGGTTCTAAAGTTGATCTTTTCATTAGACTATGGTAGAAAATTCCTTGGATGCAACAAAGAAAAAGACCAATACTGCATATTGCATTATATTTGCAGTTGGTCGAACTTAATTGTATATAAGAACATAAGAAAAGCCATGCTGGGCCCAATCACTGGTCCCTCTAGTCCAGCATTCTTTTCACACAATGTCAAACCTGCTGCCTACAGGCTTCCCTCGAGTAAAATGAGTACAACAGCTCACTCCTGCAGCCTCCCCTGCAACTGTTGTACACAAGCAGAATGCATCTGCTGTTAGAGGTACTACATAACCATTAAGACTTGGTAGTCATCACTACTTCCTGTTGCAGTGAATTCCATAGTTTAACTATGCATTGTGTGAAGAAATACTTCCTTTTATCTGTCCTGAATCTCTCACTGGTCAGCTTCATCAGATGATGCCAAGTTCAAGTATTATCAAAGAGGGAGAAAAAGTATCCCTCTATCATGTTTCTTTTTTTCTGAGCTAAATAATACCAGCTGTTGGAGCTGCTCCAACCACTTGATCATTTTGTTTTCTCTTCTCTGTGCTTTTTCCAGCTTAGTAATGTTCTTTCTCATGTATGTGGACATTTTCATTGAATGGATACTACAACCTCTTTCTTGATCGGTCATTGCTAACTCGAATCCTACCAGCCTATACTTGAAAGTGATATTTTCTGCCTCAACATGCATTACTTGTTTACTTGCTTACATGGAACTGCATTTATCATTTTAATGCCCATTCTCTCAACTAGGAAAGATCCCTTTGGACTCCTCACAATTCTTTCTGGTTTTAACTACCCTAAATAGTTTAGTATCCATAGCAAACTTGGCTGTTTCACTCCTCTCTCCAAATTCTGGATCATTTATTAAAATGGCTGAAAAGCATTGGTCCTGATGCAGAATGCTGTGCATCTGATTATGTTGTACCAAACTGATAATGTTAGACATTTAAATATTTTAAATGCTTTTTAAACACATGTTACATATTTTTGTAAGAAGGTCAACAGTTACATATTTGAGCTTTTAACATACTCAGTTTATCAGTAAGGTTGAAAACGTTGTCTTTTGTCACCATTATCTGCTTTAATTCCTCAGACTCCTGGAATGCATACACCCAAGAACAAGAGACTGTCCTGAATTCTTCATTCAGTTTCTCTGAAGTCTATTTATCTTTATTTAGTGCTCCTTTAATTTCTTTATCATCCAATGATACTGGCTAGTTTCTTTCCTTTGATATATTTGAAGAATTCTTTATTATTGGCCTTGGTGTTATGGGCGATATACTGAGCTTTATTTCTCCCCTTTTATCATTTCTTATTGTCTGCTTACCTCTCCCTTGAGCAAGTTTGTACTCTACTTTGGGAAAGCCTGAAGCCTTCTTGGCTCTAATAGCCTCCTTGATATTCTTCCTTATCCAGCAGAGTCTTCCTAAGAATTAAATACCTTTAATTTTTAGAATTTAATGGAGTGGAAATATGCTTTTTTCAATTTTGTCAGCACCTGTTCTAGAATTGATATTAAAAAATGGACATGGACATAAATGTGCTTCACCTTTTTACACAGAAAAAGCTTAAATGTTTTTGATATTGATAAAGTTATGTTAACAGCTTACCTTTTTCCTGTTTGTGCTTCAGATTTGTGGGTTTTGCCTGTAAGTGCAACACTTTTAGTAGAGAAAACTTGCTATTCTGCATGAACACAGTAAGTTCTGTTTAGGAGGGGCTAAATGATTCCATGATAGATCACATATTTTGCATGCTGAAGGTCCTAGGTCAGACCACCAGTAAGGCAGGACTATTTGCTTTTGAAATCCCATACAGTTGATGTCAGTTAATGTCAATAATACTGGACCAGATGAACCAGTGATATACCTCAGTATAAAGGAGTTCTTTGTCGTGGTCTCTGTGCATTCACATATACAGTATATCACAGAAGTGAGTACACCCCTCACATTTTGTAAATATTTGACGGTATCTTATGTGACAACACTGAAGAAATGACACTTTGCTGCAATGTAAAGTAGTGAGTATACAGCTTGTATAACAGTATAAATTTGCTGTCCCCTCAAAATAACTCAAAACACAGCCATTAATGTCTAAACCGCTGGCAACAAAAGTGAGTACACCCCTAAGTGAAACGGTCCAAATTGGGCCCAAAGTGTCAATATTTTGTGTGGCCAACATTATTTTCCAGCACTGCCTTAACCCTCTTGGGTGTGGAGTTCACCAGAGCTTCACAGGCTGCCACTGGAGTCCTCTTCCATTCCTCCATGACGACATCACGGAGCTGGTGGATGTTAGAGACCTTGCGCTCCTCCACCTTCCGTTTCAGGATGCCCCACAGATGCTTGATAGGGTTTAGGTCTTGAGACATGCTTGGCCAGTCCATCACCGTTACCCTCAGCTTCTTTAGCAAGGCAGTGGTCGTCTTGGAGGTGTGTTTGGGGTCGTTATCATGTTGGAATACTGCCCTGCAGCCCAGTCTCCGAAGGGAGGGGATCATGCTCTGCTTCAGTATGTCACAGTACATGTTGGCATTCAAGGTTCCCTCAATGAACTGTAGCTCCCCAGTGCCGGCAGCACTCATGCTACCCCAGACCATGACACTCCCACCACCATGCTTGACTGTAGGCAAGACACACTTGTCTTTGTACTCCTCACCTGGTTGTCGCCACACACACTTGACACTATCTGAACCAAATAAATTTATCTTGGTCTCATCAGACCACAGAACATGGTTCCAGTAATCCATGTCTTTAGTCTGCTTGTCTTCAGCAAACTGTTTGCGGGCTTTCTTGTGCATCATCTTTAGAAGAGGCTTCCTTCTGGGACGACAGCCCTGCAGACCAATTTGATGCAGTGTGCAGCGTATGGTCTGAGCACTGACAGGCTGACCCACCACCCTTCAACCTCTGCAGCAATGCTGGCAGTACTCATATGTCTGTTTCCCAAAGCCAGCCTCTGGATATGATGCTGAGCACATGCACTCAACTTCTTTGGTCAACCATGGCGAGGCCTGTTCTGAGTGGAACCTGTCCTGTTAAACCACAGAATGGTCTTGGCCACCATGCTGCAGCTCA